GTTGATGTCAGTCCCGCATGGGATTCAAACCCAGAATTGTCAATTATGAGTCGAGAACGAATCCAACTGTGCTACCGAGACCATAAATTTGACTTTAATGAATTCCAAAAGTGCTAATATAATTGTGTGGACAAATTTATAGTTACACATGCCACTGCATAATTAAAATCATACGCACTACCTGTATCTATTAGCCACTGGGTTCTCATCTTTATCTTAGTGGTTTGTTGCCTTTCCTCCTTCCTGGCAAGTTCTTTCTTGTTCTCTATGGTTAGTTAGCTTCAGCGAGCCACCATGGGGCTCCCTTTAGAAACCCAGTGTTAAATGTAATGAAATGCCTTTTTCTGAAGGAGTCATGGTGGCTCCCTGACACCCTCCCTACAGGTTTGATGGTTCATCATGGGTTTGTTCACAAGATCCAGGACTGACTTGAGCTGGCCGAGAGGCTGGGCCGGACTGCCTGGTGGTGGTAGCCACGTTATTGGCTGGACATGCCTGTTATGGTCGGTTATGTCCTGGTTGGTCCAGGCTGGTTATGCCTGGATGTCCTACACCAAACAAAGTGTTACTACACCCAAAAAAATCACAGCCAACACAGCCTGGGCTATGACTGTGAAGGCTGGCTTTGGCACGCTGTAAATGTTAAGCAACCCTAGTGCAGTCAAGTGTTTGCAACTGCTTCAGCATAAGAACTGAGGTCTTGAGGAACTCTCGGAGGTCTGAGGAACTACAGTAGCTGAGGTCTTGGAAGGGCTGGGCTCGTTCCCCACCCCGAAACAAATATGGAAGATGGGGTGAACAAGCGCTTACTAGTTAAAGATTTAATCATTTGTTTACATTGATGGGAGAGTTCATTAGGCAGGTTGCAAGATCTCCTTTGAATACAGCAGTTTCTGGTTTAGTTTGCTGACTTTCTGGATGCCTTGCCCGGTGGTGTAATAGATTTCATCCTCTCTCTGTGCCTCTTTGAGGAGGGCCAGGTTCTAGCTCTGGTCCCCATTAGGCCTAAAGTACTCTGCAGATGATATGACCTAGTAGTTGGGAGCCATCTAATTGAGATACAGTAGCTTAAAGGAGCCACAAAGGGCTTCCCCCCCTCCCCCCGAAATGTTTGAAACTTCCTGCCACTAAAGCGTGCAGGCAGCAAAGATGATAAACACCCCTCAATGGCCGATCCATAACAGAACACGGTAGAGACCCAAAGGGAATTTCCAGGACCTGAAGGTGGTTAACCAAGCAGACACCCCAGGCACAAAGGGCTGGCCCAGGCACTGGGCCAGTCTCTGGAAGAACAGTTACCAACAACAGCCAAAAAGATAAGCCTTTGTCCTTGAGACTTGCAATGGGCGACCACAGCGTGCCATATAAACAAGCATGAAAAGCCCAGTGAACCCCAATACAACCAAAGAATGCCCCAGCCAAGGGGGCCCAAACAGACAAACCAAAGACCTGTGATTAGCCCAAGGAAGGCTCTCCATCCCTGAGGCCAGGCCTCTCGGGCAAACTCCCAGACACACTAGAGAAGGCAACTCTTTGCAGGGGAAGCACTGGTGGACACTCTGGGTAGAAAATCCTGAGCTCATGCAGCCAGAAAATGCAACAAGAGCCAAGCAAAAAAACACTACCAGCAAAAAAAAAAAAAAAAAAAAAAAAAAAAAAAAAAAAAAAAAAAAATGCATGAGAAGTCATTGCTAAAATACAGGAACAATTCACAAAGAAAGTGACTCCTCCCCTCCCAGTAGGACAACAGTGTCTAAGGATGGCCTGCACTTAGCTTGAATAGTGAGGCTTGCCCATGATCTATTGGACCACAACATTACAGCTATACATGGTCCTTCAACAGCAATAGCAATAGGAACAAGTGGATCAGGGAAGCTGAGGGCTGAAGCCAGGCCACCTTGTGGGGCTATTTGAAACTAATGAGTTTCAATTCAAACAAATCACTTGTTCTGTGAAGATCGTTTATGGAATTGTTTGGAAGCTGAAGCTTTATTTTCTGTGAACTCTACAAATGTCTGTAAAGCTTCACTAACATTCTGTAGTACTTCTCTGTTGGGGTGGTGGATTGTACCTTGCTCCCTGTGCCTCTGTGAAGGGCACCTGGTAGGCCAAACACAACTTATGTGACCGATGTGACCTTTTAGTAAGGTGCAATCTCAGTAAGATAGCCTAAGGGAGCCACTGGAGGATTCCCTCCAGAAAAATGTGATGGGAGACTAAATTGCATCCCAGTACCACTGACCTGCAGCCCTAGCAAACTATACTAGTAACAATAATCAGAAAGTGGATCACAGAACATCTGGAGAGAACAAAGTTGATAATCGAGAGAGAGCACGAGTTCATAAAAAGCAAGTCATACTTAACAGACATCAAAGTTCTACTAGAGGGTCACCAAGGCAGGCGAGATAAGGATGGGTGGATCGAGTCTTCTTAGATTTCCAATACAAAAATATCACCGTCTGCCATAAATGACAAATGCAAGATGGAAAATTGTACTGGAATAGCTGTGAAGGTACTAGACTTGGTTACACACAGAAATCACAATTGCGTGATGCATCAAATGAACAAATCCACAAGGGCCGTGATGAGGATTCGAACCTGCATCCGAGAGCATCCCAGACTCTGCCTCAATCGACTGAGCTACGACATGGTCAAAAGGAGGTTCGAATCCTCGTCACAGCCCTTGTAGATTTGTTTACTAAACTTGCTGTGCGAGTACCAGACAAACAGGAAGCAGAGGGTAATGTTAAGAAGAAAGATGTCAGAGCAGAGGGGAGTGGTAAGTTGAGTCCCACCAGACTCTCTACATGGACTCTTACTGTTCCTGATGTGTGTGAATAAATACATGAAGAGAAACAATCTTGCCATTTTTTTTTGTCTTTTTTTTTTTTTTGCAGAACATGCAAAATTAATGAGAAAGGTATGGAACAAAGAAGACCACGTCAATAATCTATGCATCAGTCATGCCTCTGAGGCAAAGTCCAGAAAAAATGGCAAACTTCTCAGAGGTGATTATGCATGCTTCAGGTGGGGCTCCTACACCCAGACTAACTAGACAGGCTTATAAAACAAGGATTACAGAAAGTGGGACAGTCTCTGTATATTCAAAGCATTATACACAAAATACATCAAACCAGTCCTAGAATATGCAGCACCAGCATGGAATCCCCAATCTTGTGAAGCAAAAACTTTTTTTAGCAAATCCAAAGATTTGATACGTGAAATGTAGCAGAGATAAGGAAGTCGGGCTATCAAGACAAACATCTCAACCTAACTACACTGAGAGAACATGACCAGAGATGATATAATCATAATTTATAACAGGCTGAGGGAAATAGATGAAGAGGATAGACACAGATAGACACTTCAAAAGGTTACACCCCTAGTGTCAGCACCTGCATCAGAGGAGCTCCAGGATATTTCACAATTTCTAAGTATTGTAGTACAGGTTGATGATAGTGAGTGGTGTCCCAAGGAACATAAAAGTGTTGTGCTTTGGAAAGAGATAATACAAATGTGCTAAGTGAAGTGTAAAATTGGATGAGCAAAAGTGACCCTAGTGTTTACAGACAACATTCAAGATGGCCACCAGCAAGAAGGAAAACAAAACAGAGTTAGATTTTAGGGGTTTTAATGAAGAAAGCATTGATATAAGCAGTCTACACAACAAATTGGCAAAATTAGATATTATAGTGAACTATCATGTAGAAATAATCACCAAATTGAAAGAAAGTAATGAGCACTTGAGTAGCAAAGTTTTAGGTCTTGAGGGGTTAGTGAAAGACTTGTGCAAGGACAAGAATCAACTGGAAACAAATTGCAAAGCCATGGAAGAGGAAAATAAACTCAAACATAGTTTTGGAAGAAGTTAGAGCAAATTTAAACTTAAATGACTAAAAGCTCGAGAAGGGCAAAGAAACTTAAGACCGAAGCCAAATGCCCACGGGCGCGCAATTCCTCCGCAACCAACGAAGCCGAAAGAAAAGGAACCTGCACATGAAGCTGGAAAAGGCCAACATCCCGAGAAAGCACGGGAGCGAACAAGCACGCATTAAGGTGCTCAAACTCGCCCCCCAGGTAAACCTGCATAAAAGTAGAAGTTTCCCACCAATCAAGCGTGCGAGTCCGACAGAACCCACGCCACGCCCCCAGCGAAAAGAAAGGGCAGTCTGCCAGCCAGGAAGACTCCAGAACCTCCAAACGCACCTAAAAACGGGAAGAACCGAACTCAAACGAGGACGGATCCATTGCAGAGGCATAACCCGGGTTACTTGGAACTTGTTCCGAGTAGCTGAATTTATAACAACAACAACAACAAGGTTGATCATTGTCATTGGATGTGCCAATACGCATCCTGTAGGTCCAGGGACACCACCCAAGCACCCAGCTCCAAAAGGAACTGGACCTGGGTAAAAGTAGTCATCTGAAAGGAGGGGCAAGACCCAGGGGTTGGGACGGGACAAGTCCAGAATGAACCGCAGATTCGCACAGCCCCATTCCGGAACTGGGAACAGGCGCGGAACCTACCTGAGGGACGTTGTCATTTCGACAACACCCAAGAGTACCCACTCCAAGATGACTCGATAGTGCACAGGAAAACTGGCCCTGCCAGCCCCGAACCCCCCGAAGGAGGAGCAGCCAGCCAACACCAGGCAACAGCCGTTGAGTAGGCAGAACTCCATTGACTGAAGCCCCACACTAATACAGCGTATATCAGTGCGATAGCTCCAGGGAGCCGATGGGGCTCCCCCCACAGAAACAAATACTGTTAAATAATAATTTTTTTTACTAGGCATGACTAATTCAAGCTTACTCAAGGAAGGAGAACCATAACTGACATGAATATGACCAAACTGATAACTGACATGAATATGACCAAACTGATAACTGACATGAATATGACCAAACTGATAACTGACATGAATATGGCCAACCTGTCTACCTGCATTACAGAACTGGGCAGAGTTAAAATTCTGCTCAAAGTGTATTAAAATCCTTACAGGTTTCTGAAGTTTAGATTCCTTATTTCCTGGCGTGAGTGAAGGAATCCAGAAACTCGGTAGCTTCTTATCTCGCCCAGCAACCATGTTGGACACTGAAGATCCACTGCTTCTGCTACTTGAACTTGGACCTGCCCAAAAACAAATTATGTTAATATGATAGGTCTGTTGCTATTAAATCTGTCCTTCTCGTAGAGTGTCTAGTAGAGCTGATATGGATATATTAGACTTTGGCAGCAATGAGAATGGAGCCCTAGACCTACCGGGGACCACGAGCCAGAACCTGACTCTCTCAGAGAGGCACAAGGAGCAATGGCCTAAAGAAATACACGTGTGGTTAAGGAGCATTCTATGTCTGCTTGACTGCTTGATGGGGTTCTGGGAGTTCTACTACCCCCCAAGCCTGGCCCGAGGCCAGGTTTGACCTGTGAGAGTTTGGTCCACCAAGCTGTTGCTTGGATCGGTCCACAGGCCCACATACCCACTACAGCCCGATTGGTCCGGCACTCCTTGGAGAAAACTATTTTTTTTTAAAGATGTCCACGGTTGTTCCAGCAATAATTCTTATAGGGCTGGGAGGATGAACAACCGTGGATCTCTGATGTTCATACAGTGTTTTCTGATTGTGCCTATGGCACCCCTGCTCTTCACTGGTTTTATTCTGCATTTTCTTCCGTATCATTCACTTCAGATCATTCCATATCGTTCACTGACCCTATCTGCCATCGACCGGGTCACGTACCCAGAAAGGTAAGCATTCCAAAACAAACCCCTAGTCTGGTTGAAACTACCACTGAAAGTCAAACGAGTGGACAGAACTTCCCAAATGAAAAAGAGCAAACAAGCATGACATCACCACATGACATGCCGCCGTCTTCACAGGTCCCCCTTCTCCAGGAGGGGGAGGGGGGAGCCCCCAGATCCATCACGCCGGCTACCCACACCTCAGTTCTGAGGCTGGATGTCAAAATGCACAAAAAAACGCCGACTAGAGGGAGGGAGGGATGCCGGGGAGTCTCCGGGTCACACCCAGAAAATAGCATTTCATTACATTCAATGCAGGTTTTCTGGGGGAAGCCCCTTCGGCTCCCAGGAGCTACTTAACTCCTGGGAGTTAACACTTTCGCACGCCCGGCATGCGCGCCGCATATTTAGAGGTCATGCCCTCCGGCATGCGGGGGAGCGCACGGCGACATCAAAATGTGTATACTCGTTTCACTTTTCTCACCTTAATTCTCGTTCTACGTCGTTCGTTTTGGTATAATTTTGTTCACAATAGAATTCCCTACAGGTGTAAATGCATATAATGTCCAAAAGTCTGGTGTGACTCCCCACAGCAAAGATTAAAGTTAACCCTGAAAGAGCACCAATTTGCACACCGTGGCCTAGTGTGTATACTCGTTCAGCTTGATAACATCAGTTTTTGTGTTACGTCTTTCATTTTGGTATCAAATTGTTCGCAATATAACGGCGCATATTGTAAAACTGGAGGAGAAGACCGAACCAGCCACGTAGCAGTTTGGACCGATCTCTGGAAAGAGGCGTAGCCACAGAAAGACCCATGGGTTCCCCCCCCCCCCCCCCCCCCCCCCCGGAGAACCAACAAGTATGACATCAGACAGCAATTAGAAGAAGCTGCCTGAAGATACTGCCCAACTGCAGAATCTGCAAACAGCAAGGGACTAAAAGGCGATGAAACCTAAGAGCCAGGGTCCAAGCATATTCCAAGGAGGAAGCGAGCACCACCTGCCATCACGCGAAGCAAAAAATCCTGTACGATCGGCGCAGAGAACTTCAAGAGAGCATACGCAAGGAGAAAACCCTATGCCTGGTAACAGCAAGCCCCGCTCCGAGGGTAGAAAAACCTCAAGCTGACTTGGGGGGCCCAAGGACCCCCAAGTCAACCCCTCCCCAACCCCGGGAACCTCTACACCAGGACCTGGGGCCGAGTCATCCTCCAAAGCCCTGGCCTCAAAAGAAAGAGCCGGGGCAGCCGGAAAGGCAGAAAGGAAGGGGGCCCCCCCTCTAGCCAGACCCTGACGCCATGGCTGGAGGAACCAACTTTAATATCTCCGTCGCCACCCCGGAAGGGGCATCCCCCGAGACTGCCCGAGTCTCAAAACCAGCTAAACCCTGCCCCGACACCAAAGCCCTCAGGCTCTTCAGAGGGAGGACCAGAAGGAGGACCCTCAGGGAGGGAGGCCCAGAATGCATCAGAGCAGAGGAAGAACGAGTGGACTGAACTAAGGCCGAAGCGTCCAACACCCCAAATCAGGGTCCCCATAACCAAAAACCTGATTGCTTACCCAGAAGCCTTAGGGCTTCTGGGTAAGCAATCAACCTAGTGTGTTGCAGCAACCTACAACTAGCATGCAACGCCCGAGCTGCCTGCATCCGAATAGTCATCAGTGGACTGGGTGAACTGAGCCACTAACAAGCAACAAAACTCGCAGGACTCCGGATCGAAGGTGACACCAACCCATCAGGCAGCATGGTGGAGGCAAAAACAATGAAGCACAATGAGACAAGGGGACAGAGCAACTCTCAAACGCGCACAAGGCAAGAGGGGACCCAGCGGTAGCTACATCGGACCCCTTGCACCCCCGTTGGGTTTCCCAAGGCCCTTAAGACTGGTATTGCTAATGGAAGCCGAAGCAGGATACTGCGAACCGACACACAAGTCTACCAACCAAACTTCTAACAGCTGAACCCCCGAGATGTGCCCACTCACAGGGGCCTAGCAGGGAATACCACCAAGAAACAGAGATGTATATAATCCTAAATATATATAGGGGCAACCAACCAAAGGCAGACCCCCACCAGGTAGGAAAACAAAAACAAGAGAGAAACCCCCACAAGAGGACAACGTACCCAGGCGGAACAAAGCCGGCCACTATAATAGGTGATAACTAGCTGTGCAGTATCCCGCACTCCTATCAGTGTAACCTACCCCTTCCCAAAGGCAAACAAGGGTGCAGAAAACACCCCCAGCACACTAAGGGTGGTCGATCACCGAGCAGCAAAAGACCAAGCAGAAGATGATCCCAAGATGACCTCTAGAAGGTGGCCCCAAGCCCCAAGGGCAGTACTTACTGGGCCCAGTAAGTACTGCCCAAGTACTTGTGACCCTAGGTGCAGGCAGCCAGAGTATCCGAGATTACTCCTGGCACGTGCACCACCAGAGAAGACTTGCACCAGACCACCAGGCACAGAGCAAAGGACAGGAGTCAGGAGCCAGAGTCACACGACTGTTGCCATCCACATCAGCCGAAGAACTGAAGTGTGGGTAACCAGCGTTAGGGGTCTGGGGCTCCCCCTTCCCGCTCTCGGGGAGGGGGGAGCTGCGCAGACGGCGGCGCAACATGTGGGAGATGTCATGCTTGTTTGGTCGTTTTCCAAAACAAAGTTCTGTCCACTCTCTTGACTTTCAGTAGTATTTTAGTAGTTTCAACCAAAACAGGGGTTTCTTTGGGGATGCTTACCTTTCTGGGTGCCTGACCCGGTCGATGTCAGACATAGAATGATCCATAACACATGTTCATTTCTATAGGCCATTCTGGCTATAGGCTATAGGTTAATATAGGTTCTGGCTCGTGGTCCCCAGTAGGCCTAGAACTCCATTCACATTGACTGATGCCAAAGTATAATATATCCATATCAGCATGGTTAGCTTCGGGGAGCCAAAGGGGCTCCCCCAGAAATAGTCGTTCCAGAAAATGAAAGTGCCTTGTGAAATTGACAGTGTCCAGTTTTCTGTTTTAGGTCCTCTGGTAGGTTAGGATAAAGGCACTTCAGTATGACGGTTTCTTGACATTTTGAAATGTTAAGAGGATGGGCTGTGCTATTAATGTGGATGAAAGAGCGAGTTACAGAAGAAGTAGGAGCAGATGCTGCTGAATCATGCCATGTACTATAGACATGAGCTACAAGCTGAATAATTTAACTTATAAATTTTCTGTTTGAGTGGGAAATAAATTCTGAAGACTCAAAAACACTTCAATACGATCTAGATAGACTTTCAAAATGGTCGAAAGATTGGCATATGCAGTTTAACCCGCGCACTGCACTTCTCAAGATATCTCACATGACAGGTGGTACTGTATTCAACAAACCAACTGAGATACCCTTCTCACCTTGAGCAGCCTGTGAAGCTGATGAAACAGCTGTTTCTGTCTTCAGGAATTTCTCAACACGGGACCGATTCTCAGCTTCCCCAAGTTCTTCCAATTCCCTCTGTAATTAAAGTTTCATTAAATATTTAGTGATCAATTAACAATACAGTAAATACAAGGAATTTACTATTAATAATTTTATTTTAATGTGGTTATTAACCACACAAATGAACTTCTCTCACACACATCTACTTCCCTACATATCTACTGCAACCAATAATATTGGTTGTTGGTTCAGTTAAAGTTTGGATAAATAAAAAGTCCGAATAAATCATATACAACTCCTCTAAAACACAGTTATTCATATTAGAGACTAACTGTTGCACTGCAAAGGCTGTTGCAAATTGCCTCTGCCTATTTTTCTGCAATACATTGACTACACATGCCCGTGTCTCCCACACCCCACACATGCCCGTGTCTCCCACACCCCACACATGCCCGTGTCTCCCACACCCCACACATGCCCGTGTCTCCCACACCCCACACATGCCCGTGTCTCCCACACCCCACACATGCCCGTGTCTCCCACACCCCACACATGCCCGTGTCTCCCACACCCCACACATGCCCGTGTCTCCCACACCCCACACATGCCCGTGTCTCCCACACCCCACACATGCCCGTGTCTCCCACACCCCACACATGCCCGTGTCTCCCACACCCCACACATGCCCGTGTCTCCCACACCCCACACATGCCCGTGTCTCCCACACCCCACACATGCCCGTGCCTCCCACACCCCACACATGCCCGTGTCTCCCACACCCCACACATGCCCGTGTCTCCCACACCCCACACATGCCCGTGTCTCCCACACCCCACACATGCCCGTGTCTCCCACACCCCACACATGCCCGTGCCTCCCACACCCCACACATGCCCGTGTCTCCCACACCCCACACATGCCCGTGTCTCCCACACCCCACACATGCCCGTGTCTCCCACACCCCTCACATGCCCGTGTCTCCCACACCCCACACATGCCCGTGCCTCCCACACCCCACACATGCCCGTGTCTCCCACACCCCTCACATGCCCGTGTCTCCCACACCCCACACATGCCCGTGCCGCCCACACCCCACACATGCCCGTGTCTCCCACATCCCACACATGCCCGTGTCTCCCACATCCCACACATGCCCGTGTCTCCCACATCCTTCACATGCCCGTGTCTCCCACACCCCTCACATGCCCGTGTCTCCCACACCCCACACATGCCCGTGTCTCCCACACCCCACACATGCCCGTGCCTCCCACACCCCACACATGCCCGTGTCTCCCACATCCCACACATGCCCGTGTCTCCCACATCCCACACATGCCCGTGTCTCCCACATCCCACACATACCCGTGTCTCCCACATCCCACACATGCCCGTGCCTCCCACACCCCACACATGCCCGTGCCTCCCACACCCTTCACATGCCCGTGTCTCCCACACCCCACACATGCCCGTGTCTCCCACACCCCACACATGCCCGTGTCTCCCACATCCCACACATGCCCGTGTCTCCCACACCCCACACATGCCCGTGTCTCCCACACCCCACACATGCCCGTGCCTCCCACACCCTTCACATGCCCGTGTCTCCCACACCCCACACATGCCCGTGCCTCCCACACCCCACACATGCCCGTGTCTCCCACACCCCACACATGCCCGTGCCTCCCACACCCCACACATGCCCATGTCTCCCACACCCCACACATGCCCGTGCCTCCCACACCCCACACATGCCCGTGTCTCCCACACCCCACACATGCCCGTGTCTCCCACAGCCCACACATGCCCGTGTCTCCCACACCCCACACATGCCCGTGCCTCCCACACCCCACACATGCCCGTGCCTCCCACACCCCACACATGCCCGTGCCTCCCACACCCCACACATGCCCGTGCCTCCCACACCCCTCACATGCCCGTGTCTCCCACACCCCACACATGCCCGTGCCTCCCACACCCCACACATGCCCGTGTCTCCCACACCCCATACATGCCCGTGTCTCCCACACCCCTCACATGCCCGTGTCTCCCACACCCCACACATGCCCGTGCCGCCCACACCCCACACATGCCCGTGTCTCCCACATCCCACACATGCCCGTGTCTCCCACATCCTTCACATGCCCGTGTCTCCCACACCCCACACATGCCCGTGTCTCCCACACCCCTCACATGCCCGTGTCTCCCACACCCCACACATGCCCGTGTCTCCCACACCCCACACATGCCCGTGTCTCCCACATCCCACACATGCCCGTGTCTCCCACACCCCACACATGCCCGTGCCTCCCACACCCCACACATGCCCGTGCCTCCCACACCCCACACATGCCCGTGCCTCCCACACCCCACACAGGCCTGTGCCTCCCACATGAAAGAACAAATGAAAGAACATTCATGAAAGAACATCTAAAGGGGCATAACTGGCAATCCCCTCACAGTGTTCAAGAGAGAACTGGATAAGCACCTCCAAAGGATACCTGATCAACCAGGCTGTGACTCATAAGTCAGGCTGCGAGCAGCCGCATCCAACAGCCTGGTGATCAGTCCAGCAACCAGGAGGACGCTAAGCCCCGGATGCACCCCAAGGTAACCTCAAGGTATAGCTCAACAAAAATCTATTACAAACCTGTTCCTTCTTGCACTGCTTTTCATATTCCTTAATTTGACGCCTAATTTCATTTTTCTTTGAGATGATGTATTCCAGGATAGCTTCCTTATCAAATAAATGACCATCTGAAACACACAACATGTGTGAATTAACCGATTTATATATACAGTAACATTATGTAAATGCACATGATATCTGCATATATTCTAACAGGTTTCAGGACCTGACTAAAGAATTGAGTCCAAAGTGTGCAACATCACATGCTTTTTCCTGATGCATCTTAACACTACTGCGCGGTGCGCGAGCGCACCGCAGACTTTGACGTCATGGCCCCAATGGTGCGGGCGAGCGTGTGGCGACGCCTAAATGTTTATACTCGTTTCAGTTTTCTCACCTCAATTCTGGTGCTACATCGTTCGTTTTGGTATCATTGTGTTCGCAATTAAATTCCCTACAGGTGTGTATAAATATAATGTCCAAAAGCCTGGCGTGACTCCCAACAGCAAAACCTAAAGTCGGCAAAAGTTACCCGTGAGCGCACAAAATCAGTAAAATGTGCATACTTGTTCCATTTTTCTCACCTTAATTCTCGTGCTACATCGCTCGTTTTGGTATCATTGTGTTCGCAATTAAATTCCCTACAGATGTGCATGAATATAATGTACAAAAGCTTGGAGTGCCTCCCCGCAGATAATCCTAAAGTTACCCGTGAACGAGCACCAATTTGTATACTGCAACCTAATGTGTATACTCGTTCAGTTTGATTACATCAATTTTCGTGTTACATCTTTCATTTTGGTATCAAATTGTTCGTAATAAAAAGGCGCGTATTTTAAAACTAATCCCATAATAATAGAGCAATAACTGGAATTTTAACAAATATTTTAATTCTGGAAGCTCATCATCACAAAATTATTTATATCTTTCCAGTGTTCCGAAATAAATTTTTGTGTTACATCTTTCATTTTGGTATCAAATTATTCACGACGTAAAGGTGCGCATTTTAAAACTAGTCCCAACATAATAGCACAATAAATATAATTTTAACAAATATTTTAAAATTTTGACCAAAAACCTGTTTATAATCATATAAGTGTTCGGACATCAAGTTTCATGTTACATCTTTCATTTTGGTATCAAATTGTGCGCATTCTAAAGGCGCTTATTTTGATAATATCCCGAAGTCGATTGGATAAAAAATGAATTTTATACAAATATTTTTGTAGTGGACGCAAGTCCGGTCCAAAGTTAGGACTCAGGAGAAAAATAATGGACAAGAGTCCGGTCCAACGTGACCGATAGTGTTAAAAAAACTATATATTTTTTTAAGTATATACTGTAATGAAACTACCATTTCTTGTTGGCTGTGAAGTTCCCCATAGCTTGGCTTGCACTAAGGTGAAACTAAGCCCTGGGAAGTTTACCAGTCCTCCGAGACCTCCCCCCTGACCTACCAAGAGCCAAGACCAGAATCTGGTTCTCTCTCTCTCTCTCTCTCTCTCTACAAAGTGAGGGGAGCTTAAGGATAAGAGATCCTTACCTTTCCTTGAGGTTACCTTGAGGTGTTTCTGAAGATCAAAACCCTTGCAATCCTATCTCTAACCAAGGCTTCTGGTTGGTCTGGTGAACTATATGCCAATGTTTGCAGTCTAATGTATGAATTACAATCCAGTTGATCAGATATCTTTCGAGGCAGTTATAAAGATCCCTTTTGAAACACCAAGAGAGGCTGGCTAGTTATTTCTGATGTTTAGGTCTGGATTAGGGAGGGAGCTGAAAGGTCTTGATTTCTTTACCCCTTTTTCTACTTTTAAAAGGGATCTTTTACAGGTTCTGTAATACCTCCTTGTCTCATAAGTAAATATTTCCATCTGCAGATTAGGAACTAGTCCCTCAATTTTTTTTGAAGTGTAAATTATTATATATCTCTTACATTCACTCTGAAGAGCAGTTTGAGAGCTTTTATGCAGTACCAATAATTTACATGTCTTACTGTATGGATTCAGATAGTAAAAGTTCTCTGCACATTCTCCAAGTTAGTAATTTCATCTTTGAAAAAGAGAGAGCCCATTTCTGGCCTTTTATTGATTGGGCCAAGGTTGGTGCTGGGAGCTTGGGATGCTTCCAAAGAATGTTGTAGTCCCATGTTGCGTCTAAAAACCTCTTTGCAGGACATTGGGTCTTTTCTTTGTTGCTCTGGCCTCGGTTGTCTGATTTATTTTATTGCCCGATCACTTTTTCCTCATAGGAGCTCTTGCATGACATCACAGACACCTGGGATGTCTGTGGGGGTCTTTAATTTTTGGCCCATTTCATGAGATCAATGGTCCTACTTTGCTGTTGGCCTGGTGATGCTTTCTGAGGTGTGGCTGTTCTGCGCCTGTTTGCTTACAGTTCGAGGAAAACTTGGAACGAACTTCTTATTTTGTGCAGGGTTTTTGCCTTTCTGCTTTCCTTTTTGGTGTTCCGGGGTGCATCATGCTGGTTCTTGACATCAGCAGTGGATTTTCGTTTCTTTTTGGGATGAAATCTTGGGCTCTTTTTAAATTTGAATTACTGTACCCTTTGGAGGGCTCACAAAAGATGCTTCTGAAATCCGGGTAGGTCAAGTTGATTTCCCGGTTGCAATTCTTTTAACCATGTCGTAGCTCAGTCGATTAAGGCAGTGTCTGGGATCCTCTCGGACGTAGGTTCGAACCCTCGTCACAGCCATTGTGCATTTGTTCACAATACATGATTCACCCCCAGCCTGACCAACCGCAGCCCATCCTCTAAACAAAGACCCAAAGTCCATTCCATGCACCCGCCAAACCCCCTGTTTATGAATTAAAAACAGGTTTACACACGACTCACAACTGATGATATCCGAACACTTCCGGAACGAGTTCTTCGCTGATGACTTTTGTTTGGACTACAACGCTGTAAATGCTTCACCCATGTACTGTACTACAAATACAAATAATCGGCAACAGAACCTAAACACATAACCTAGCCAGTGCCTAAATATGCACAATATGCCAATATATAATAATATTAATTAATATTTGAGAAAAGTTCTGTTTTGAATGAACAGCATGTTAAAATTGATGAATGTGTCTTTAGGGTCGACCTCTGGATAAAATGGACTTGGTCTGAGGACGGGTTGCCAACCAAGCATCAATAAGCCAAGGGCCCCTCTGGCAGCCCGCCGTCTCGTTCTACACAAGAAAAGAAGGAGATGGCTGTCACTGAACAAACTGACCACCAGGATCCAAAGAGCAGAAACCTCTGCACCGGAGGAGGGCATGAAGCTCACCAACCCGACCCCTAGAGGCCAATGCCAACAGAAATAATCTTGAACCAAAGGGGGACACAACAAACTGAGGGGAAGAGAGAAAAAATAGTGCACCCAGTCCAAGGACCAGAACGGCTAAGGCGGCGCATGAGCAGGCCTGAGGTGAAACAAAGTACGAGACAGCTTATGGAACGGGGCGGAAGTAACATCCACCCTGAACGCAAGCTGCAGTGGTTCGAGGTGGCATGATACGAGGTGACAGTATTTGACACACACAGGGATTTCTACAGGCCATTGCTCCTCGTGCCTCTCTGAGAGGGGCCAGGTTCTGGCTCGTGGTCCCCGGTAGGCCTGAGAACTCCGTTCACTTGACTGATGCCAGGATCTAATACATTCATATCAGCCCAGATAGCTCCGGGGAGCCGATAGGACTTCCCCTAAAAAAGGATTTTGACAGAGTCCCACACAAACGGTTGCACTGAAAACAAACATGCTGGAGGGGTGACAGGGAGACGTCTGACATGAATGAAAAATTTTCAGTCTGACAGACAGATGAGGGCAGTAATCAGAAACAATATATATGACCTGAGGAGTGTTACTAGCGGAATACCACAGGGCTTAGTTCTTGCACCAGTAATGTTTATCATCTACATAAACTATCTACCAGAAGGAATACAGAATTATAAAAACATGTTTGTGGATGATGCCCATATACTGGGAAGATAGGGGTTGCAAACGATTGTAATGCCCTTCAAATTGATCTAGATAAAATAAGTGCTAGGAGCATCAAGAGGCAAATGGAATTCAATGTGAATAAATGCATGTTACGGAATGAGGAATTGCAGAAAATAGACCACACACAACTTACAAATTATGTAGAAAGAAATTACAGAGCTCTAATAAAGATCAAGACCTAGGGTTGGTTTTGGATAGTAAACTGTCGCCAGAGGAACACAAATAACATGTGAGAGGAGCGTATGCATCGCTTTCCAACTGAAGATTTGCTTTTAGTTATATGAATGGTGAAATACTAAAGAAACTGTTCATGACTTTTATGAAACCAAAATTGGAATATGCAGCAGTTGTATGGTGTCCAACTCTCAAGAGGAACATAAACTGGAAAAGGTGCAACGGCATAATACAAAATGGCTTCCAGAACTGAAAAACAAGAGTTACAAAGAGAAATTGGAGGCTTTAAACATGCCAAAAGTAAAAGATAGAAGAAAAAGAGGAGATATGATCATCACTTACAAAATACTAACAGGAATCGACCAAATTAACAAAGAGGAATTCCTGAAACCAACAACTTCAAGAACGAGAGGACACAGATTCAAGCTAAGGAAACGAAGGTGCCAAAAAGGTGTCCAGTCTCCGTGGTATAGTGGTAAGACACTCGCCTGGTGTTCCGCGAGCACTATGTCATGGGTTTGTATCCTGGCCGGGGAGGATTTACTGGGCGCAATTTCTTAACTGTAGCCTCTGTTTAACGCAACAGTAAAATGTGCACTTGGATGAAAAAACGATTCTTTGCGGCAGGGGATCGTATTTCAGGGACCTGCCCGAAACGCTACGCATACTAGTGGCTGTACAAGAATTTAACAACTCTTGTATATATCTAAAAAAAAAAAAAAAAAAAAAAATATTAGAAAGTTTTCTTTTGCAAACAGTGGTAGATGGTTGGAGCAAGCCAAGTAGGTGGTGGAGGCCAAAACCGCCAATAGTGTCAATGCGTTATACGACAGAGTACTGGGACAATGGGACACCATGAGCACAACTCTCATCCTGTAACTACACTTAGGAAATTACGAATCTTCTGGTGTAGTTGGCTTACTCACACTGTACTACTGACATGCAGTAATAGTCACTGGGTTCAATGAGTCACAGGTTCCTCTTGCATTCAACAAGCTCATTCACTCTTCACTTCAGTTCACTTCAATTTGACAGTTTTCTTGACGTTGGGAAACCTTAGGAGGACAGGCTGGTGGAAGAAAGATGTTTTTCTTTGGTAGGGGAGTCACCTACCATTATAACTTCAGGTAATTGTGCTTCTGAGGTTCTCTATCCTCTCCTGTTTCCCCTCTTAAGAAACTTAAGAGTGCACTTTCCCCCATTTTGCACACATTTCTTTTATTAGAGAACTAGATTTAGGCATACCAAAATTGGTAGTAAGAACAGACACATGGGCACCACTTTCATATTTTGCCGAGTTCTTTTTTCATCTCTATCATGGTTCTAACCAATATTTGTTTTTGCTTGGCTCTTATGACTAACATTCTTCGGTGCCATAGTCACTTTACACGAAGAATACAAAAATTATCCAAGAAAACACAAGAAAGGTTAGATAAGTCTAGTGGTGTGCTCTGAACGACAGCTACTGTAAAACTGACTCGGCACGCAAACGTAAACACGCGTCCCTGATGAGTAAACGGTCGACTGCCCAATGTGAGCACAATGTTCAAGTGCCGATTTCTTCACGTTGGAAGGTGTTCCAGTACAGAGATCCCAATTTATGTAAATGGAGCAGA